GGAGGAAGGTAATCTAATGGAGCATTTGAGCAGCTTCAATAGATGTGTTGCTGACTTGCAAAGAATGGATGTGAAGTATGATACGGAGGATAAGGCACTTATGTTTCTAACATCCTTGCCTCCGTTTTATAAGCACTTCCGAACGACGCTTATGTTCGGGAAGAGTACCTTGAACTTTGAGGAGGTGGTGCAAGATGTGATGACGCATCACCGGATGTCCCAACGCTCGGAGGAGAACTCTCAAGATACGAGTCTATTCGTAGGGAACCGTTCAAGCAAGCGTGATGGCAAGAGAAGCAACGGGAGGAATGCTAAGTTCAAGGACAATGAAGGATGCTTCGAGTGTGAGTCTAAGGATCATTGGAAGCGGAATTGTCCAATATGGAAGGAGAAGATGAAGAAAGCTGGAAGTTCAGCCAACGTGTGTGATGAACACATGTGGCCCACTAATTGAGAATTTGTGTTTGAGAGATTTGAATTTAATCTCATTGAAATTTGCATGGGTAGATGACCCATGGGAAAAATTGGAAATGAATGGGTAAGTGTGGCCCATTAACTTATTGTCAATATCCAAGAAAAATAATGAGTAATTTTAATTATCCCATTGATTTTTCATGAAACTGACATTTGCACTTGGAAAAGTGTTTCGGCGAACTTGGTTAAGATGAACCAAGGATTCGAATTTGGTTGCGGTTGCGTCTAGTGGGATGCTAGACTGCCTACGTACCCTTGATGGGATCAAACCGGCGTAGTTCCAAGATGATTTCAATTATCGTATTTCCAGCAGGCAACTCAGAATATGTTTCCAAATGCAGGGGATGTCTCAAATCGTGGAGAGTTGAGGAAATCATGGAGGTAGAGATGAACCCACCATGGAATCAAAATCAAAGAACGAAAGCTTGTAATCACAAGTCTCTGCGTAAAACTGGTTTGAAGCATCTAAAACCAAAAGGGCTGCATGGCAATTGAATTGCCTCCTCATGAGTGTTTGCTGCCAGCAAGTCAACAAAGAGAAAATAAAAAGAAGAAGAAGAAGATAGCCAGCAGAGGAAGAATGGAGCAAAAAAAAAGAAGTGGTTCTGTTTGTTGTGTTTGTTTGCAAAAGACAAAACAAGGGACAGCAAAAAAAAAGTAATGAAAAAAAAAAAAACAGAGGGCCTCCCTCTCTTGAATGGTTCTTTGGTTTTATTCTGACTGAAAATTGAGTAAAAGAAAAGGAAACGAGCAATGGTAAAAGTACAGCAATAGCAAACAAAAAAAGGAGTTGGCAAAGCAAGTACCACAAGTTTTCTCTTTGGTTTCTAAAGCAAAAGGACAGATGGTTTTCTCCACCAAATAAAGAAATCTCCAAAGCCTTCAATCTAGCAGCACAGTCTCTACATACAAAAGAGAAGAAAGAAGTCAGCCACATGGAAACAAACAAAAGAAAAAAAGAGAAAGGGAAGTTTGTGGGCATAGGTTACCACGTGAAATCCCAGAGCTTGTCTTTTCTTTTGATGATGCAACAGGTAGTTGTACGAGCTGGTCTGGAAAGGAAAACAAAGGAAGAATATCAAGTGTTCGTTTGCTGATGATTTAAAGTTGTGGTGCACATGTTTTCTTTTATAAATAAAAGAAATACATATAGCCCAATCCTATATGGACAAGGGGTTAACTTTCCTGGATGATCCAGGGGTTCCAAATCAACAAGGAGGTTAATTCTGACTCTATTTGGACAAGGAATTTTATCCTTGGGTGTCTTGATAAAATTAAAAGACATTTGTTAAAGGCACCAAGCTGTGGGGGACTAGCTGGAACAAAGCAAGGCCATAACTTTTCCTTCACGGTTTCATCATCCAAAGTCTTTTAGAGCATCCACAGTGGGGGGGTGTATGTTAAATATACACCCCGAGTCACCGGAATTGTCTCCAATGGTGAGATGTAAATGGATGTAAATATACATCACCACCATGGGGATGTAAAATAAAATGTATATTTACATCCATTTTTACATCCCTTGCAGGCGGGACCCACCCGAGAAAAGAGAAGAAAAATGAAGAAAAGTCAACATAAAAGGCTGGGACCCACGGCTACACCCCCGAATTTACACCCCCCCACTGGAGCAAAAAACATATTTACACCCCCCGGAGGTGTAAAGGGGATGTAAAAGTGGCTTTACACCCCCGAATTTACACCCTCCACTGTGGATGCTCTTAGGTCTCTTCACTGTGCCCTCAAGAATCCCAAACAGCAAGCAAGGCAGCTGGGTTTCAAGGTCTCTCTAATGTAGGCACTTGCTCATGATCCAACTGATGAAAAATGTCAAGGCCTGGAAACAGATTATTGGGTTATCAAAATTGCCCATTAATTCTCAAAAGCCCAAAGTATTTAATGAGTGATCAAATAAACACTCATTAAGTATACAGAGGCCCAAATGGCCTATTATGTGGTTAATGGATCAATTTTAAAATCCTCAGAGCCATGTTCAGGCCCAAATGCAAATGTCAATTTCATGAAAAATTAGTGGGTTAATCAAAACGGCTCATTATTTTTCTTGGACATTGACAAAAAGAAAGATGGTACAAAACCATCCAATTTTCCTCATGGGTCATCTACCCATGAAAACTCCAATGAGATTAAATTCAAATCTCTCAAACAGAAGTTCTAAATTATTGGGCCACACTTACCCATTAATTTCCAATTTTTCTCATAGGTCATCTACCTATGAAAATCTCCAAATTGTCCCAAAGACACAAATTCTCAATTAGTGAGCCACACTTACCCATTAATTTCCAAATCATTTTCCGAACTACGTTGGTTTGATCCCTTCGAAAGGGTACGTAGGCAATCTAGAGACTCAATCTGGATGCAATCGCCCAAATCTCAAAGCCAAACAGAATCCGTGGTTATTCTTAACTAGCCCCAAAACACACATCAAAATCAAATCCCTGGTTTATTCAGCTAAATTCACTCAAACCATTTCTTAATCAAATTCACACAAATCTTTCCTTTTGCAATGAGTCATTCATTCATTGCAATTCCTTGAACTACGAGTGGCTTGATTCTCGCAAGGGATACGTAGGCACCCTGATGTTCGACTTAGGGGCAACCGCAAAACCAAACACACACGTTCTGTTTCTTTATGATGGAATCAAAGGGTTTTCCCTTGAAGCAAATTGTCTTCTGCCCTTTATCCATCAGACCTGCATCAAACAAAGAATAATGTCAGTTCTTACTTGGGATGCACTAAACCGGGAATTAACTAAATGCAAGAATAATTAAACTCAAGAGCTAGCTAGCGCATCTCTAATTAATTAGTTGCTTAAAGTTTATTTGTCACTTGTCTGAAGTAACTGGAAATTAGGAACTCATTGATGATGAAGTCGAGGATAACTGGAAATTAGGAAATTTCTCTATTTCATGTAGTCATAGACCACCATCATGTTATTTACACATTTCATAAATTATAACTTCAAAAATTTCAATGTAAGTAGATTGCAAGGGTCAAATGAAGCTTACATTTTCATATCTAATACGACTAAAGGCCTTTGTCCCAGCACAATGTGTGATCTTCAATTTCTTTCTATTTTCCTTATTTTTTGCACTACTTTTCTGCAAAAATAAGTATTAAAAGTAATGAGCATTAGATGTATAACTGAACTGAAGTACTAAAAGTAATGAACACCATTAGGAATGTATAACTAAGCTGAAGTATAACCAAGCTGAGGTGAGGATTAGTATATTTTAAGTAGCCTATCTAAATATGCTCAGTCAGGTTTATATAATGCCTTGGACAAAACTGTCTAACCAGGGAAGAGAGCACTGAGACATAAAAATATCAATTACCAGAACTTTTCTCAAAATGGAATCACTAAATGAATGAAGGCATGAGCATAATGTCAAGAAGAGGAACTAGATAGTGTCTCCCCTTCCACTCATCGTTTTGCCATAATTGAACCAGATAGTTCCAATCATCCTCTCCCACTGTTTGAGGTCGATGCTCAAGTGCCTCCTCCTCGGACCCGTATGCTAGAAATTTCTGATGCAAATTGTAATGCAGTTTCTTCTCTTCATGTGATCCTCAATAGCCATATTCACATGAGGAATCAAACAGAGTCCCCAATAGCATATGTTAATCAGTAACCACTAATAGAGTCCCCAATAGCATTTCAGATTACAATCAAGTAGAACACAACGCAATAGGAATAAGAGTAAAGAAAAAGCAAGAATGAAGATGAAAACCAATTAGGAATCAAACAGCCAGAGATCGAAGATTTCTTATACCAGATAAGCAGAGCGTGTTTTGAATGCTTTGTATCTCTGGTTTTGTATTTTGGATCATTGATTGTTATATTTTGTGTTATGAAAACAGTCAAGTTGTGGGATGGCCACCTATTAGTGCTGCAAGGTTGAATAGCTTGGTTAACCAAGCTATTCAAAACCAAAAATATTTGTATATACATTGTTATTGTTGTGACTTTTTCTCAAAGTGTTGTGACTTTTTCTCAAAGCCTATTTGGTAAAGAGTGCCCCCACAAACGTGCAGCTTGGGCCCACATTGAAGTGGGCCATACAATTAGATGGGGACAGACCAACATAGAAGTCAGGGCTTCCCAAAGTAAGTGAGGAAAATTCCCAAATGCCCATGATTTTGCCAAATTTAATCATCTAGATGAGTTCTCTAATGGTGATTCACCAAAAATTATTAATTTAAGGATTAGGTGGTGCATACAGCAGCAGCTGTGGACCAAAGACAATCAATGCAGATAGACAGACAGATATTTGTTGAGACACTTCTATGCTTCCGGATGGATCCTCTAAGTTTGTACTCACTTATGAAGATAAAGAAGGAGACTGGATGCTTGTAGGAGATGTTCCTTGGGTGTATGCTTCTACCTCTAATTATGAGTTTTGTTAAAAAGAAAATGGGATGGTGAACCTAAAAAAATAAAGAGAGCAATGTGCTTAGTAACATCTAATTTGACATTCCCGGAGTTTCCTTTTTCTGTTACTTTCTAGTAAATAATGCTGACAGTATGTTTACTATTTCTATGGTATATAGGATGTTCATCAGCTCAGTGAAAAGGCTTCGTATCAGGAGGACCTCTGAGGCTAATGGACTTGGTATGCATTTAAAATCTACAAACCCCAATAGCATTTCAGATTACAATCAAGTAGAACACAACGCAATAGGAATAAGAGTAAAGAAAAAGCAAGAATGAAGATGAAAACCAATTAGGAATCAAACAGCCAGAGATCGAAGATTTCTTACCAGAGAAGCTAATGGTCTCAAAAGTTGATTTCAAAATAGGATCTTACTAGCCTCAAGGTTGTTTCTCAAAATTGAAACTTCTGCAACACAAATTAGGAAGTTAGGGCATCAAGCTTTTTGGAATCACACCTCAGAATCGAAATTCAAAGAGAAATCAAAACTAAAATCGGTGAAAAATATCAGAACTATATAGTAGCCCTTGAAATTGGTTTAGACATACACTGAAAGTCCATAGCACATTGTTCATCAAAGTTAAGGCTAATAAAAGCCAACTACAGGCTACCAAATGCATCTTTTTTTTTCCCCTCTAAGACAAGGCCCTACTAACGGTAATGTATAATATTCCAAGACCCAAAATCCTTCTTTGATACTTAATCTCAGAATCCTCAGAAACAAACATGAACACACCAAGAAGAAACTAACAGAACCCACTTTGACCATTTTGATTGATGCCAAAAGAATGTTTCAATGAACTAGATCTAATTCCCTACATAAACAATGAAAACAAAATCCCGAGCCATATAGTCGTCAAAGCAACCAGAACCCTTTTTTTTATCTTCTATTCAAATCTAAAAACAGCCTATAATAAGCATAAAGTTTTCTTACCCGACAAAAACATTACTGAATTTCTGAAAGCATACAAGAGTAATGCAATAATATTTTCATCAAGTAAACCCAAAACACAAAATATACCCAAAACAAAATCATAGTTAGGAAAATTGATATCACAGTGGAACTCAAAATCACAGTGAATAGAGAATTAGGGAATTAGGGAATAGAGAATAGAGAATCAGAATCAGAGTCACAATCGCACTCAAATCAAACTCAAATGAAATCAAAACTTACATTGAAACCAAAGAGAAATAGAAAGCTCACATGATATTGGGAGAAAACCTAGAAATCGAAACCACAGAGACAACAAGGACGACAAAGAGGACGCTCGCTCGATGAAGAAGATGGTCTCGCTCGCTCTGGTCTCTCGCTCTTGTCTTGCTGGCTCTGAGCTCGCGCTGGTCTCGTTCGGATTTCGCTCGTCTCGCTCTGAGCCAGTGCGTTCTGAAAAATATAAATAAAGAAGTTTAAAAAAGGTTAATTGGTCACTGATGTATTAAATGAGAGAAGTAAGGCTACTTGGCATATGTGTTCGTCACTAACTATATAATTTAAGTTATTTTCAGTGACTAATTTAAATAATGATCTCGACTTCTTTCTATTCAGGATCGGCATCCAAGGACAGGAAGAATCGACATCCAACATCCAATCGATCTCTCGATCGTCCATCTCGCTTGTAAGTTGCACTCATCTCCATCTGTTCAGTTTTTAGTGCCAACATATATAAAATCATAAAGAAAAGGAAAGACATCAAACGCAAGGAAATATTTTTCAAACGAAATGGTGGTTTGCTGCTAGAAAAGCAATTATCGTCAGGTGAACACAACGTTGAGAAAGTCAAGTTGTTCAAATCGAAGGAGATGGAGAAGTCCACTGACAATTTTAACATTAATAGAATTCTTGGCCAGGGAGCCCAAGGAACTGTTTTCGAAGGCATGTTGACAGATGGAAGAATTGTTGCTGTGAAAAAGTCTAAAATAGTGGATGAAGGCAAACTTTTGAAATTTATCAATGAGGTTGTGATTCTTTCACAAATTTACCAAATTATAAATACGTCAAGTAGCTAGTAAACTGCATTATCTTTTCATGAAATTATATTTTGTGGTACCTAGAAAAGAGTAGGAAACACTTGAATTCTCTATTACCAGAGACAGACAATCATAACAGCTCTACACATACAATTCCACACACGTTACCAAAAGAAAAGTACCCTTCAATTTGTTTCCATTGTGAAGACTAAGTTGCAAAGAAATTTTTTGTTTGAGAATCTTTTACTTTTCAATTTCATCATTTTCTTTCATCACATATGTTGAGTTGGACATCTTGGCAAACAACAACTTGGAAACAGAGCAGAAAGAGAGGAATGCATAATAATATGATTCTGCAAAAGCATTTTTAATCCACACAAGATAACAGAATCCCCATGCCCTACACAAACGATTAGTAGAATTGATTACGGTCAAGTTTGGCTGCTTAGGTTTACTTTTTCCACACAGCTCAATCATAACATAAGTCCTAGCCAACAATTGATACCCTTCACTTCATGGCCTATCGATAGGGCCTTGTAATTTGGACAGTTGGAAGAGCTTATGCATCTTTAGCTTTTAACACTATCACTACTACAAAAAGTGAAAAAGACGACTAGAAAACAACGACGGTGGAACCAAAAACCGTCGTTGTGTTTAGAAAGACGACGCTACAAAATGTGAGTGTAGTTTCAACTTCCAATCCAAAAGGTCATAGGTGAGGTCTGGCTTTAGGGTTTAGGGAAGACTTGAATTTTATTTTATTTTTGGACAGTGTATGTTTTGTAATTCATAATATTTACGTCCACAATAATTAACTGAGCATATATGAGGACATTACTATGAACTCAACTGCATTTCCTTTTGTGATCTCTTAAGTCGAGTAGCTAGTAAACTGCATTATCTTTTCATGAATTTATATTTTGTGGTACCTAGAAAAGAGTAGGAAACACTCGAATTCTCTATTACCAGACATATCAGACAGAAAATCATGACAGCTCTACACATACAATTTCCACACACGTTACCAGAAGAAAAGTACCCTTCAATTTGTTTCCATCGTGAAGACTAAGTTGCAAAGAAATTTTTTGTTTGAGAATCTTTTACTTTTCAATTTCATCATTTTCTTTTCATCACATATGTTGAGTTGGACATCTTGGCAAACAACAACTTGGAAACAGAGAAGAAAGAGAGGAGTGCATGATAATGTGATTCTGCAAAAGCATTTTTAATCCACACAAGATAACATAAATCACCATGCCCTACACAACAACTACGTCGTAAAATTTATATATAACTTCGTTCTTCATATATTTACTACGTTAATTTTTTGTTTACCATGTCATGTTTTATAAAACAATGGAAGTTGAAAGAGTAATAATAACGACGATTCTGTATACACATGTGTCGTAGTATATATTAATAACGTTGTTTTGACTAGTAAACGGAGCCGTCTAGGGTAATTGAAACGTCTCTTATTTGTTCATATGTCATGGAACAATCTTTAAAAACGTCGATTTATTTTAAATTACTGTCGTAGTATATATATTTTTTTTTTTACATCAATAGTTTATCAAACTACGTCATATTTGGGGCTTTTAAACGGCGTTGATCCTTGAAAAGGATCGTGTATTCTTAATTCAGTCGATTCTTTTGGCTCATTTCTTTAGTTAGACGTCGGTTTTTGTTTTTGCATGACGTTGATCTTCATATTTACCTCGTTAATAATGGTTTACCACGTCATGTTTTATTAAACAAAGGAAGTGGGAAGATGACTAATAACGACGGTTCTGTAAGCAAATGTGTCGTAGTATATATTTATAACGTCATCCGTTGTTTGGTAGTCGACGTGAAAAGAAAACTGAGCCGTTCTAGGGTCATTGAAAACGTCGAGTTCTTTTAAATTACTGTCGTGGTATGTCATTTTTACAGCAGTATTTTATCAAACTACGTCATATTTGTACTTTTTAAACGGCGTTGATCTTTGAAAAGGGTCGTGTATTCTTATTCCAGTCGATTTTTTCTGCTCATTTTCCTTATTAAGACGTCGGTTGTTTTTTGTGCATGACGTTGTATAATTTCACAACGTCGGGGATTTATCGTCATGGTTTTGTTTTTGAAAAGATGTCAGTTGATTTCTCGACGCTTTGAAAACCAGCTACTCGACGGTAAATTCCCGTCGTCTATTGCCTTTTTTGTAGTAGTGTTGTGTTATTGATCGGAAATAGCAAAAAGTGTTATCCCTGTTATATGAAAGTTTCTCCCTATTAATAGATTCTAGTAACTAGGATTTGGGGTTGACCCACATTTAAACGAATTAACGTGACTTTCTGATTGATTTGAAAGACATGTAACATCATAATTCGCATTGGGACTAATTGCAAAGTAATATCAAGTTGATATGTTGTTCCTAGTCCATATATATGTTATCAGTCAAATATGGCAGCTACAATATTAATTAATATTGTGACTATTTAGGGTGACGATGGTGACGCTGCGGACCTAGTCCTAGGAGCGGCAGTGACGTCCCTGTCATATTTCAACATTGAAAACAAAAAACAAAATTATGAAATCTATTTGAAATTGTTTTCACTTTGTTTTCACTTCCTAAATCTATTTGAGAGAGAATGAGAGATTGAAATGGTGTTATCTTCATTCTCTCTCTCAATCTCATCCTAACTCCCATTCTCACTCTTATTTTCCTCTATACTCTAGCACAAAAAATGAAAACAAAAAATTAAAATTGAAATAGTTATCAAACGGGCTCTCAGTAAAATAATTAGGAAGTCCAAGCTAGAGGGTTACTAAATTATTTTGAGGAATGAAGGAGCAATTTCAAGCAATAAGGATATTGGCAACGTCCCGGTCAAACTAATCAAAAAGTCTAAGCTAGGAGATTACTAAATGAATTCTGAGAAATGAACGAGAAATTTCAAAGCAATGTCCTGTCCGATTAAGTGGGCTTGGAAGATTAGTCAAGTCGGCCCTCGGTGATGAGTAGAGACGACTTGACCTAGCCCTATATAAGCTTAAGGCCCTGCTCTCATCAGACACGTTCTCAAAACCTATTCTCATCATAAAGAGAGAGCTGAAACAGATTCTGAGAGAGAGCAGAAGTTCTTGAGCCGTCCCTGATAAATTGCTAGGATTGCTGCGCAACGGATAGGATGAGTTCAAAAGCTGTGTACTCAAGGAAGATGGCTCCAGGTATGTCTTCCATTTCTTTATACGTATTACATGTTTGTGTGAAAGATCTAGATTATTTACTAAAGAAATCTTACAAAAAGCCCTGTTACTTTCTTCGGCGCTTGCAAGGGAAAGGAAACTCGCCAAGCCCCAAATTTGACGGGAAGCCCTTTTGTGTACTTGGACGGAAAAAACATGTTCACTGCAGTCAGCTGCGGCCGTCTTGCTACCATAAGGTCAAATGTGAATTTTTTTCTTGGATGCAATTCAACTTGTGACGATCAGAGTATAGATAGTGCTACTTATCGCTGCGGTACCATTGGAACTAACTGTTGCCAGACTACCATTCCTCCAAATATCAGCGTTTTCACTACTGAGATACAGCAAAGAGATCAAATTGATGGTTGCAACTATGCATTTCTTGTTGACCAAGATTGGTTTTTGAACAATTTATCAAGCTACAGAGCTATCCAAGGAATGGACAGAGTTCCCGTGGTGCTGGAATGGAACATCAGCTTAGACAACACTTCACACAAAGCATTTGAAGGATTTATTGGAAGACAAGTAGATCAGTATGATGGAAATTTCTTTAATAACGACTCAACACCCTATTGCGAAATATATAATGCCACTACTTCTTCAACATACAATCAGTCAAGCGTTCATTGCTTCTGTCCAACCTTGTCAAGGTACGTACGTAATTAATTAAAACCCTTCCATTCCGTTATCCAAAGCTTCGTTCTGGAATGAGCCAACTTCACCATTCATCATCATGTTCATTTGTCTTTTTGTTATTATATTTCAGATATTGATGAATGCAAGCTTAATCGGTGTATGGATGATCCTTATGATATGCTAGCTTCATGGAATTTCAGTGGCAGTCCTATATGTGAGAATGTCGCCGGTGGTTTTACATGCTACTCAAATGTAACTACATGTGACGTTTTTGGTGAAACTAGTTGGCATTGCTACGACAAGCCAAAGCCGCCTCGGGCCTATCGAATCAGAACTGTTCTTTTAGGTATGCTCTTATACTGTTTAGAGTTCATTATTATTAATAAAGACCCATGTAGTATATACTTATCGAATCTAGGCTCAATTGCATTTATTATTTATATTCTATGGCTATTTTGGCCTTGAAGATAAATAATGAAAACAAATAAAAAGTACGTACTTTTAATCACTTATGGCTAGAATAAAAAATCATTAATATTGTTACTCTTAAATTTTGAATTTGACTTTTAAACACTTATGGCTAGAATAAAAAATCATA